CAATGTCTCTTGTACACCCTCCTCAGGAGAGTCTGAAAGCCGGTAGGCAGCACAGGATTCACCAATGTTGTATACCAAAACACATTCAGGTCACCAACAGGCTGCTTGTCCAAGTAGGAAACTGCACTGGAGTGTTGGTAACTCAAACCTACAGCACGCAATCACCTCAGCGTGGCAGCCTGTAAAAACAGAACCATTAGACAAACAGCACAAATTCCAGCCTTCCTGGATTCTACCCTGACTGCCATCTTCTAACCGCTCAGCGTGAAGAGAAGCTCTATTTCCAATTATTAAGCGATTTGCACTAAACAGTTGCTGTGACAAGAGAAGACAAAGTACTGTAAATCAGTACTGGTCCCAGCAGAGAGAGAGGTAACGCCAGGTGCATTTAGATTAGACGTTAGGAAGAAATTCTTTACTCTGAGGGCTGTGGGGCACAGGCTGCCCAGAGCAGCTGTGGGTTCCCCATCCCTGGAGGTGTCCAAGGCCAGGCTGGACACGGCTTTGAGCAACATGGTCTGGTGGGAGGTGTCCCTGCCCATGGCAGGGGGTTGGAAACAGATGGTTTTTAAGGTCCCTTCCACCCCCAACTATTCTAGGATTCTCTGATTCTCTGAACTGCCAAAGCAAAGCAAGCACTAGCTCAGAGGGTTCGTGGGATGAAAACCCCAAATTGCCAGCAGGAAAAAAGTTTACAAGGACTTGAGCTGAGTACTGTGTGCTGGAGAGGACAGCAACATTTTGTTGTTTTCTTTTTTTTACACCTGCCTTCTACACACATTCATACACACTGTGTACATGGCATCCTGGAACCCAAACACACAGCCAAAGTAATTGCATGTGGGCTCAAATCTGGGAAGCAGCAAATACACTGAAGCAAAAAAGAAGCACATGGAAATTCTCTACCTGTGCTGTAGCTTCCCTCCTCTTAGCTCTCAGTTCAGACAATGCCCTTTTCAAAGGCTGCCTCTGTCACCTGTCAGATATTCACGAAGCAATGCGGAGAGCAACACAAAGCACATCCCCAGAAACAATTTTCAACTTCTGCTTCATCTGCTTGGTGAATCTAATGGTCACTACGGCAGCTTCCCTGCAGGACTGCGCCACATGAAAGCCTTAATTGGCTCTATTTTGTGTCTGCAAAGAGAAGCCAAAGATCACAGTCCCCGGCTGATAAAACAAGGGGCATGTGAAGCTTTAAAACAGGCGCAGAAAACAAACAGAAAAAGCAAAACATGTTTTGCAAAGCAGAATATTGCTATACTGGCCAAATGTCTTTCCCCTGAAATTGTAGTTGAAGATACTTTCCACGTGTCTTTCTGCTCAGATGAGTATTAGCTGTTGTGCTAAACATTCTTTTCGAGGGTGGAAAACTGGACATTTAATTCTAACAAAACAAAACAAAAACTTACAATAGCTGAGACTTAAATTTGACACTGACAGCTTCTGCCTGTTCTGCTACAGCATGACAAGGTTCAGTTGAGCACTGAAGAAGTTTTTGTTTAGTTTGCATTTTAAGAGAATAAGAAAATCACTTCTGCATAGTTACAAAAAAAAAAATGCAAATAGTCAGAGAGCTTCTCTATTGGCACTATCAAATAATAGGCCAAAACTTGAATGAGTATGAAAACTCTCCTTGTTTCTAGATACAGTCCTAGCTCAAATCACAGGCATGTCAGCTGCAGATGAAGACTTGCTTATCACCTCCTTACTACAGGCAATACAGAATTTTAACCTTCAACTAATGAATCCTGCTACTAGTAAAAGGTTATGCAAAGTGATAACAGAGAAGCAAGAAGAATTAATGAAGCATTAAACTAAATTATTTTGAGTCCTCCGTCACTGCTTATAAATGTTTTATTTCTATCTACAATACACTAATTCTTTAGTGAAGCGTAGCCCTGCTGTAGGTGGTTGTTGGGCTGGAAAGGTTACTCAAGCAAGATTAAGTGTACTTGGTATGAGATTGTTGAAACGTTTGCCTTTCCTCCCTACCATATAAACAAAATTCCACATGGGAACAAAGAAAGCAGTTCCCTGCTCCGTTTCGAACAAGCAAAGCAGAACAGGGTGACTCTCAGGCTCTTCACTGTGAGCATCAGCTCCTTTACAAACACATATTCTCCCACTCCTCAGGTTTAGAGTGTCCAAAAGCCTTGTGTGGAAGGAAGCCTGAAATACAATTTCTTATTTACAATTCACATACTCAATCCAAACACCACGTAAGAATTGTACTGCATTCAGGAGAACCAGAAGTACTCAAGTGAGCTTGCACAATAGATAGGTTTTAATGTAAAACCAGAACTTTTACTTCCTCCATTCTTGGTTCGTGGATTTCTGCAGGTCTGTTTGGTGATGGGATCCAGGAACTGACAGGAATTAAAGGCTAAATCCGAGTGAACATCTGGGATAGCATAATAAGAGCAAATCTGCCAAGAAAAACAGTTGATACTGGGGAACTGACATCCACACTCTGTATGTGAAAGTGAAACAGGAGGTGGTGTGTCAGATGAGCCCTAGTCTGGTCCCATGGACCAAATGAGTATTAGCTGTAAGCAGAATATTCTTCAGCTCAGTTTCATCCCAATTTAATACAACTCTCCAATTCTGTGAGTTTTTTGTGTGCAAAGCAAGGTACAGCAGGCACGTGCAATCGGGAGTTTGACTTCAAAAGCACCTTCCTGACTCAAGCCATAATGCTAATGAAGGTCCACCCATAACCACTGCAGTTCTTTCAGGCATGATAAGGCTCTCCAGATGGGAAATACAGGCTAGAAGCCAACCAGCACTTCCCGTGGAGAGAGCACGCCAGCTCATTTCATTCAGCGCCAAATCATCCTCTGGATTCCCAGTTTTAATTTTTGTTAAATCCTGATAAAGGGCTGAGCAGGGCTGGTTTCCTGAGTAACGAACTCAAGAGGGAGACATGGGGTCCGCGATCACTATGTATAGCAGCAGATGACAGCGGAACAGGATGAGTACATAAATGCTTTCACAGACAGGGTTTACATGGTAGAGACATGACAGAGTACAGGAGACCTGCACATTCTCAGTGGAAAGGTAAAATGTCTATTCTGAACGGCTGAAAGTAGGAGCAAAGCTGTTGTGACTCAGATGCCTTCAGAAAGAACAGGGCCCTTAGTCATCTCCTGTCCTTCTCAGGTTAAAAATGGGACTTTGCTTTAAGTATCACAATTCGTCTCACATCTGATCTTCTCATTAAAAACGGCCCAGACAAATAATGGTTTAAACATTTCCCTATGTGTGGTTATTTCCAGTTGGCAGGTATGGGTAAATGATACCATGGCTTGGAGAGGAATAATTTTAACTCATGTTTAGAGCAGATCTGCTAAAATGTTTTTTCTTCACTGAAGAAAGAACCTTTTAATGTGGTGCCAATGTTTTCGCAATGATATTTCACTGAGCATTCTTCTTTGGTCTGTCATGAAATTCACATGTAAGAGACATAAATGAAGCAATGAAGGGTACAAGTCTGCAAAGACTCGTTATTTAGGCTATATTTTAAGCAAATTTAAGACTGACTAATTACTCTGGGTGCCTTACTTGAATTACTTGAAAGGGCATCGTTTTCAAAGGGCCTGTAAAACAGACCCCTCTTGGGAATCACAAGTTTGGCCAGCTTTGAAGAAAGCCAGTACGAAACATAACCTAATACAGATTTGCATACATATCCACCTACAGCAGAAGACCACAAAGAAGTCAGGAACATTTAGGAATATTTGCTTCTGGGAAACATTAGCAAAAGCACACAGCCACTGGGACACTAATCTTTCATCCAAAAGCAAATAAGTGTATTCTGTAGAAACACGTATATGAATTCCCCAGGTGAAAATAAGACAAACGTGATGTACTACATCCAGACAGGTCAATCCTTCCTTTTTAATTTGGTAACAGAATTTTAAATAGGGGTCCCAGAAACATCTTGAGCATGTCACTGCCTTCCAGAGAGCCACTTCAGCTGACAGAGGGGTGCTGACAGGTTCTCTTCATTCAAAGAGAGAGCTGACAGCCTAACCTTATGACATTAGCAAAGCCTAAGTCACATCACTGTGTCATATTACAGTGTGCACCCCAAAAATAGAAGGAACGAGAAACTCATTACTACATTGTCTTCAAATAAGGTGTGTGAAGTGGGGGAGGAGGGAAGTTTTTGAAAGAAGAAAACATTTACCTGAGCCTCTGCCTTCTACTGAAGCTGTTAAGTGAAACTGAGAGGAACTCTGAAATGCTTGCTCTTTGGTCTTCCTTCGAGTTACTACCTCTAAGTCATTCAGCTCAGAAGTGCGTGTGGGGGGTGGGAAACAAAAAAAATATCTTTTCTCCAGTGCTAAACTGACAGAGAATTTACTAAAGCTTGACATTAAGGGATATCCCATGTGTCTACACAGACACGTATATTAACGTTCTCTGGCTCTGCAGACTTAGTCTTCCCCTGCAAGAAGGGGACTGGCTGATGCCCATAAGTCCCTTGCTGGCTACGTGTTCCAGCTACAAACATAAAACATGGTCCCTTGGTTAACATCTGGTATGTGCTGCCAGTTTTGACCAGGTTTATGGAATATGTTACATACAAAGTTAGAGCTGCCTCTGAGGTCTGCAGAGCTGACAAACAAGAACAGAAACTGCAAAGGCAGGAAGCCTGTTAAAAGAGTGATTATCAGCATGTGTCAAGAATATCAGACACTTCAAACATAGCATGGTCTCCAGAAGACTCTTCACTACGATCAAATTCAAAAGCTGTTTTGGAGTATAGGTACGCTTGGAGCCATTACTCTGTTCCTTGGTATCAGAGGTGGCCCCACACCTAGAGTACCAACGCCTCCGAAGGACAACGTTGAGTGTAACAGGGTGGGGCTCTGCTCTGTGATGTTTTTCATCCAGGAACGGAGAATTTGATCTTTCGCATCGTTTATGAAACCAGTCCCGACTCAAAAAACAAGCATAATAACAAAAGGAGAAAGAGTTTAAGTGATACTCACGCGGCATGATCCCTTGGCTCACCAGCTCCTCCCGTGTGCGTCGCTGCTGGAGCTTCAACTGCAGCACTGCACAACAGCAGAGAGAGGGAAGAGAAGGAAACCCATCAGTGCGAGAAACATCAGAGGACACATTTTCAAACGCATCTTCTTCTCTCCTTTGGACGCCAAGGCAGTAGCGAGCAGCAGGATGAGAAGACCTCCCTCCCACCCAACTCCCCTGCAGCACGCAATTGCAGAAGTGGCCGTGAGCGGCGAGGTTTCCGTATTCTGCTGCGGGCAACAAGGAGAGGAAGTTGCAAAGGGTCTTGGCAGGGTGATAAAAATCCGCAAAGCCGGGCCTGTTTCTCAATTCTTTCTACAGCTCCAAGTTATTTCAAGCCATTAGCATTCAAAAACAAACAGAGAGAAACGTTGGTCTGACAGGCCACCAGGAAAAGCAGCGACACCCCACCTGCTAATGACTCCTCAAAACTCTAATTACAGATTAAATTGATATGACAAAATTGTTGGTCATTAAGCTTTCTCTAAATTACAAGGCTGACTGCCTTCCCTGGCACTGAAATCCTTCCACCTTCAGAACCATGTAATGAAAGTGAAATATCATGGGCATATCTGCAAGTGTCCTTGTTCCCCAGCAAAAGGGATCCCTTATCTCTAGCATGTCTCCAATTTCTTTGAGTGCTATAGAGCATGTGTTACCTGTATGAAATACAGTTATCTATTTTTTTTCTAATGCAAATGACTGGATTATTTCAACATTAAGATTAGAACAGCAGTTTCCATTTAAACTATACTATTGAAGTGAAATTCTCGAGATTGTTCTTATGAACAGTCAAAGACAACTTCCATATGAAAGAGACCTCGTAATGCCAAAGGAAAAACCCCATGAGTGGTGCACACACACACACAAACGCACAGACACATCGATTTGGGACAACCTGAATGAACACTCACTGAATCCCGTTTGCAATCAAGCCTAAGCTCCTAAGTACGCTCAACAGAAAACATTATAAAATTAATGGCATGGCTTCTTCCATGTTTAAATTTCAGTTTCCCTGTCGCGTTTATGCCTGTTGTATAGTCCACATAACAGAGGTCTGCACAAATGTAGTAGAACTACCAAAGAACAAAACTGCTCTGCTAACTAAACCATCTTATTATAACCCTTATGCTTCCTTTCTCAGTTATTTTTTTCTGTCTAATACATTCATTTCTGACATTAGATCCGAATTTATACTGTACACTCCCTAAAGCAGAGATCAAAAACTTCAAGAGAAGATGCCACCTCACCTACTTACATACATCATCACATTTTACCTGTTTCCTTAAACCTCCTATTTGCAGTTTTTCTTTTGAGGGAGATACCCCTTCCAGTAAGGCATCTGGTCTTCACAAGAAGTTGACAGGAGATGAAAAATCCATCTCTTCTGTGGTCGCTTGCACCGTGGCTAATCGCCCGCACTTAAATGCTTGGATTTGTCTAGCGTCAGCTGCCTTTGGCTCTTGACATTGCTTTTTTTGAAGTTTATGACAGTGTGAATATAATTCCTACCTCTGAAGGCACTTCTGTATACAGCGTGCAACCAAGTTCCCTCTCTTCACTTTCTTGAGCCAAACAAGGATTTCTCAACACATGCATCCCAGGCAGGAAACTATTTTCTTCACCACGGGGAAGGGAGAGAGGGAGTGAGCTAGAGCAGAGCACCACACGAATCCTGCGAGGGATCAGCCAAGAGCCCCGGCGAGGAGGAGGGAATGCAGAGGGGAAGAACAGGCCCTCAGTTTGGCTGTGAAACTGCAAACAGAAGTGGTAGTCCCCAATTCCTCCTCCCACCCAGCCGTGCAATCTCACTCCTACTTTTGCGCTTGCATGAGGGCTGACACAGTCTCACGGCTGTCACAGAGCTCTTCGTTTGCTGGATTCGTCGTGAGGCCATCAAAAGCCAAAGCAGGTGCTGCCACATCTACGCAGCACCAGTGCCAGAAGAATGGGTGGGACCATGGCAGACCTGATCTGATTCAACTGCAGGTACCCCAGCAGCATGGCTACAAGGGAACGGCCTTGAGCAAGCAGCTTGCTGCAGCCGAATCTCGCTCCCCGCATCAGCTCTCACCTCTGTCTGACTGACAGCTGGACCCACTGACGTGACAGCACACCCCGGCCAGAACCGTGAACACTTTTCTGCCTGGTTTAGTAGGTTCAAGAGTGGGTGAGACTTCATTCTCCCAGCAGCAGCAGGCAGCACGTAGGGTTTCGGCCCTGTCAGGTAACTGTACATTAAATCTCTCGCTCTGTGGCGTTTTCGTCATTCTGGAGCCATTTGAGGGGCTCATTTCGATACCCTAAACTAGCACATTTCACTAAATGTACACAGACCAGGCACAGACCTAGAGCATCTCGCACCCCAACTTTACGTGCAGATAATCTCAGTATTACTCATTTCTCCCAGTTACACATCTAGCAAGGTATTTTCTAGCTGTGTTTACCGCTGTGTTATTTACTTGCCAGGACCACCAACTTTCCCTACTTTTTCCAACTATACCTACCACTTACCTCAACAGCTTATTTACCTTTTCCCTCCCAGAGTCGAAGATTTCCAGAGAAAAACTCCCCCACATAGGTGTGGCCAGCATTTTTTGCTCCTTGGTGCATAACTCTGCACTCACCTGTATTTATGCACATTTTGCCCAACTATCTCAGTTTGCCTAAATGATCTAAAGCATTTTATTTTCACTGTCATTAAGGTTATTTATGCCTCCACTAATTTTTGTTCCATCCACACCTTTACCAGCAGTCATCTTGCACTTGCTTCCAGACCACGCTGGGCTGATCCCAACTAGAAACTCTTTTCTTTGATTAGAGTCAGTTCTTAAACCATTTAAGCTCTACTTCATTACATCCAAAGATACTTTTTAAAACCCAAATGTATTGCACTACTAAGCTAGAGACCTCATAAAAGTCTATTACACACAGGCAAAACCCCTAAAAAACAAATTTCTAGTATCAAAACAACAAAATTGTACTTGAGTGGACCTGCTCTTCTAAAACTGAAAAGCTGCAAGCATGATTACTGCTCCTCTTATTCCAATTCTTTATCAAATTTTCTTTATTTTTTTCCCTAGAACTGGTAAGAGATTACGTACTCTTTACTCACTCACACTTTTTCACTAGCAGTGCAAAATGTTACTTCTCTTTCACTCTTCCGAGTCTCCCTGCTGTCACCAGATTTGTTAGAAATCAGTGTCAGCCAGCCAGCCAGACTTCATCAAATGGCTTAAAACTCACTTCCTGACTTAAGCTTCCCTTATGATTTTTCTAAATATAGCTTATTTCTATATCAGTTGCCATCTACTACCCGTTTTCTCTAGTCATTATATGCACCTTTTATTTTTAAACACTATGTCCCTTCACAACAAAAAACTAGCAACTGTCAAGAGGACTAAGCTAAAGAATAGGTAAAAGGTCATTTTCAGGATATTTTTAATAGCTATTAAGTAATTCCTGGGATTCGTGAATGTATTACATATTAAGCAGAAGTTATTACCAGAACATAATGCACTTTTGTCCCAACACAGTTTATTTTGGGAGGAGGGCAAAAAGGTTTAATTCAGTTCAGTCCTGAATTCATTTTGGCTTAAATAAGCACTTGGAGTTGCAAACACCATTTTGTATATTTAGGAGATCACCTGTTTACGTGTGCAAGTGTGTGAATCCTATATATAGATTAACAGATGTCCCAAGAGCCAATCCAAGGCTGTTGTACGTGGAGCTCAGCCAAAGGTCTAGAATGACCAGAGAAATTCAGTTACTCAAAGACAGGATGGAGTGTAAGTCCTTCAATCACAAACCAACAACCTTCTGTTTCCTTTATCCCCATACTTTAACTTTAAATTAATTTTCAAGTTCGAAAGAAATCAGGTCATATAAAGAAGAGTGTATATCTGCAGGCTGGAAAATAAGTTCCACACGGGAACTCTTTTACTTGACTCTTTTCTTCAACTTGTGTCCCGGTCTATGAAACATTTTGTAAGCTTCATATGCTTGTCTGATTTTTCCGCCCGAAAATGGGACTAACTGATTTATTTCACAAGAATGAAAAGCTCTGAAATATAATTAAAGTTTGGACAAGGCTTCTAGGTCTTTAATGAACTCTTTCAAGAATTTCTAAAACATTCCAGAGCAATCTGGAAGATGGTATAGAGAGCTGTTGGCAGCACTTTAGAAGAGGGTTAAAGCAGCATTTGTGTGGGTGTGTAGTAACAGGCAAGTAACACAGCAATACAGCTACTACAAACAGAGTTGTACTGTTAAAGAAATTTAGCAAGATGTGCTCATTTTTTGTTTGTCTTGACGTAGAACTGCGTTAACACTGAACCCATAGGCACTGCCCGCTGCATTAAGCACGTGCTTAACGTATGGAGGCTGCACCCACACGGACACTTAGGCCACAGCTCTAGTCACAGTGCAGGGGTGCACCAGCAGTAAGCAAGAACAAACATTTATGAGGAGCGAAGTTGCTTTTTGCAGCCTGTCATCTAAATCAGCAGCAGACCTGCCTTTACACACACGTGCCCGAAAGCCCTTTGCTGCTGAGCCACGCTTCACGTTTAATGGTGTGCCCAGGGCTGCTGCTGAAACCCAGCTGCAGCCTCAGCATCTCAACATCTTAACGAGAAAAAACTACCCTTGTCTTAGAGACTATGTCACATATCCTGGCAAGTTTACAACAACAAATTTAAAAAATATTTTGCATTTCCTGTTTTTTTGAGACCCGGCAACGAGAAGCGCGCAGCTCTGAACTGCGGCCTGTGGTGAGGCCCTGCACGCGCTGGATCCCGATGTAGCACCTGGGGCCAGTCAGCAGCCACATCGCTGTAAACCCCTTTCTTGTAAGGAATCCCCCCAAATCCTCACGGTTGCCCAAAGTGAGGTGATGCTTAAGTACTGCTATAGGGGTTATTACGACAGTGAGAGCCCAAGCAGCCGTGAGGAGCCCGGGGAGGACGGCTGCTGCGGCCCACTGGATACCAGGGCGATGAGGGAGAGAGCGAGGAGCCCTGAGACA